TTTATTTTTGCAGTAAGTTCAAGTACAATAACATTAGAAGGTTAACTACAACAAATAGCAATGCAGTTCCATTGTGTCGCTGAATTTCCTCCATGAAAAAAATAGATGATAGAAAATATGAAAAACAAAATTGTACTCGATAGATTCATAATAGCATTAGACAATGTCAAAGCTGAGTGAAGACATCAACATGGCTAATGGAGCGCCACTGTGTGGTTTTGTGTATGTGGTTAACATAAGAAATTTATGAGATTAAAGAGAGGTACACTAGAGTCAGGCCAATACAGGGAGATACAGTGTGAGATATGGGGAAATCAGAATTAAAACTTAAATCACATAATGGATCCTCTCTAAATTCACATACACATCATAATGGAGATGAGTATAAAACATGACAATTAACATAAATTACGAACCGTAAACAACTTTTCTAAACAACAAACTTTCAGTGGTTAAAACAAAAAGAAAAAACTTTTGGTGGTTAAATAAAAAAAAAACTATAATGGTTTTATGGACTTTGCCCAAATCTATTTTGAAAATAAAAAGTTGTTTTTTAGGGTTATGTGAGACTATACCTGATTTTTGTAATTTTAATCCTAAAATTGGAAGGAAACTACATATTTGGTCTATGATGTACATTTTTTCTCTCAGATTTTGTTTAACGGAAAAACGGCCAATATTAAATAAATGAGCATCTGTTAACTTTATTAATTTAGGGACGAAAATTGTTATGGAAGATGAAATTAAGGACCAATAATGAAAGACGGTTCGTTTTTAAGACCAAAACTGGAGATAAAGCAAAACTAAGGAAGCACCCATATCATATGGAAGCACCCAGAATGTTCTGACCAATGTTACATCATCCTAGGTAGAATGCATATTATTGTAATAATCAATGGTCATAATTTAAATTAAAATGTCATTGCAATTTTATAAAAAGAACATATCAAGTTAGCAAGAAACTTGTTAAGGGGAACAGGCCAGAGCCCAAATGTGTGTCTGCCACATGGGCATTGACCTTGTTGACTTTTCTGAACAATGTGAATAAAGAAATTTGGCATTACGGCACCAAACCTTATTCATGGTATAAGTTGCTATTGATACCTAAATCCAGACTATACAAGATTTAATAAAACAAGAAATTATTTAGTTAGAAATATACACTTATCGGTTTAAAAGTAGCAAAAACAATACTTTTAATGTTCAGATGCCAAGTCAATTCCCCATTCTAGCTTATTCTCAAACTTGTGAGCGTAGTGATGGAATGTAAGGGAAATGTCTTCTTTGTAGTCTTTCCAATGCTTTCTACAGTGATGGAGAGATTTAATAACAAAAACCATGGTAAAAATTAGAAATAGAAAATGTGTAGGTTGTTTTTGGAGAATTAGAAATTTAGAATAAGTAGAAACAGTACCTATCATAATCCCAAAATCCAGTTTCAAATTATACAGAACAATATAGCTTGTTACCTGACCTATAACCAAAGCTATTTTGTTGGGTACCCCAAACATATTCAACTTTGAATCACCAAGATTATAATTCTATCAACTCCCACAATTACTCCAAGTGCAAGAACGTGTGCACTTCTTACATCCCAATTTTTGTTGCAGACACACCCAAACATCTGAAACAAACAACATATATGACAAGTTAACTGAAGAGTTAAATAAGTAATACATACTTTAACTAAACTGTATAAACCAACTCTCATGATGAGTCTCTAAAAAGGAAAAAGTGAAAAGGCTAGCAAAAATTGAAAATTAATTTTTGAAATTTCTACTAAAAGTTAATCTAATGACATATAGATCATCATTTTTGTTCCTATGGTCTTAATCTGACTAATGTTGTTTTATTTTCTACTTATATCCATATTGGAACCATACATAAGCAAGCATAAAATAAAGTAATAAAAATTAATTTCGTGTCATATAGAACCAACATTTCAACCATTCAAGAAGTATTTTAATTTGACTTTAGGGTGCAAAATGGTCGTTTTCCTACTTCAAGATTCATGTAACTTATATTTAATTCCTCAAATAAAATAAATGAAAAATCATAATCACATGTATTAAGTAAATACAAACTATAACATACTCCAAAAAGTGCATTATTTGATGTTTTTCTCAACAAAACGACCAAAAGGTTGACCTTCGAATTGTTCTTTTATGGCATTAAATGTAGATCTTGTCTTCAAAACTTATGGATGAAAGTCAGATTGATAAACAGAGCTACCATCAGTGTTCCCCCAAATCTAGTAAACCTAACTACAAACTCCACAAAGGCAGGTCACTTCAAAGATTATGATTCACAAAACACCAAAATCAACATCTGGTTTATGAATCTAACAATAATATAGTCTTGATAAACTTTTGGTAATGAAAATTTGAAAGCATTATATAAAAATATGAGATGAAATCAAAGATATCAAATACTGATTCTTGTAAAAATATGAAATACAAACATAGAGGTTAAAAGATCAAAATGGGAAATTTTATGTAGCATTCAAGATATAAAGAAACAAATTATAGAGTATAGGATCTCAAACCTGCAAGCTTTAAACCTATTTGTAAGTAACTGGTTAGTAAGACTTAGTGTGCTTCTTATACAGTATCACATCACAAAGAAGGAAAAAGAACAAAAAGGGTAATAACGTAAATGTTACGGGTACATTCATTGCTCTTAGTGAATTCGATACCAACAATTTGGTTAGAAGATTCGAGCCCTACCCGAGGAAGACCTTTAGTCACCTGTGCAAAAAATTTGGAAGTGTCATTTTAGTAATTGTGGAAGCTTTCAACTAAACCTACAAGATAACAATCCATATGAATGTGATAATTTGCACAGACTACAATACAATGCAGAATATTACAAAAGTATAACATATTTTCGAAAAAAAAATCTCTCCAAGAATCATTAGCATACCAGAATTCATCAAAATACTAAAGATAAAATCAATTATCCAAATTCTATATAATATTGACATATCTAGTGACCATATGATAGGATAAATCACATTTTGCAAACTATATAAGAAAAATTCATGAAATTCTACCTATTCCAATGAAGTGTAATTATCTGCAAACCTTGAATACATCCGGTCAAGCTTCTTCTATGGTTTATGGGGTTGACCGTAGGTGATGGTGCAGGTGCAGGGGGAGCTGCGGGTGCATGATAATGTTGAGGATAAGTAGGATAAGCTTCCTGAACAAGATAATTATGAATGTATGTGGCAACTATGAATAAGATTGTTGAGGATAGTTTATGTATTGACTTCCAGTAAAAGATGATGTTGATTGGAACGATGGTGACAATAGATACTGAATACACCAAATTTGATTAACAACACCAAAGAGAAATTTAATTATAAGTAAATCTAGCTTAACATTCAACACCGTTGATAGTTAATAGATCATCTCCCTGCAGGAAGATAGATTGCACTAAATATTTAGCATCACTGTAATGTAGGGAAAAAAATGGCACCCGACAAAAGGCACTAATGCCTCTGATTCATACAACACTCCTTAAAAATCAGCAAATATAAAGTATGAATTATTTAGAGGAAAGAGAATAAATATCACAGAAAGTTTTATCAAAACAACAACATGAACTTAAGTTCCATCAAAAACCATTGTCAAAGGAGGAGTAAGAAGTATTGCTCTGTAACAATCGAAGTCACCTACAACACAATTACACCAGAAGATAAATGAAAGTGTATTTAATAAAAGAAAATTACAGAAAAAATATTAATGATAGACAAAATGACAATTTATAATGGTTTGATCATTACCTGCATTGTACAGATTGAAAGTTTGATACATCAACATGACAACATGAACTTAAGTTCCATCAAAAACCATTGTCAAAGGAGGAGTAATAAGTATTGCATCAAAGTCACCTGCAACACAATTACACCAGAAGATAAATGAAAGTGTATTTAATACAAGAACATTACAGAAAAAATATTAATAAAAGACAAAATGACAATTTATAATGGTTTGATCATCACCTGCATTGTACAGATTGAATCTACAACTACAACATAGATCTCTAGAAACGAATGAAATAACTACATAAGCATATATCAATGGAGTAAGGGCTAATTAGTAATTACTTACGTTTATTACCACCACCAGGAACGTCAATCCAACTAAATTTATTTTCAATTTCACCACTTTCAACATTTCGTAATTCTCACAGCTTCCAAGAATGGAGTGAAGTCCAATTCTGCATCCCCCATTCTATCATCGGCTGAAAATAGATCCCTATCGTATACTTCCTGTATCAACAATATTGTTTCAAAATCCGAAATCAATTTAGGGGAAGAGAACCAAGAGATTGAAGAACAGCTTACGAGTTTAATGGGAAGAGGCTCTACAATCGAGAGAGTTAATTCTTCATCCCACACAGGATTTAGGTTTTTCTTCACCACTCGAGTCTTCAATTTCTGTACAAAAAATTAGGAAAAAGTTATTTTATTATCAGAATGGTGGACGGTGACCCGCTAATAGGTTGTAGCGACGACGACCAGATGGTGGTTGAACGTGACGACGGGATAGGGTTAGGGCTACTCGTATTGACAGAAGGTACAAGCGAGGAGACAACGGAGGTGGCGGACATCGGTGACGGAAAATGTGGACTTCAAGGGGGTCATCGATTCTGAAGCGATTAGGAAGGAGACGCAAAGAAGAGGGGATCGATTTCCTTCTGACGGCGGCTGTTGTGTGTAGAGAAGATTAGGGCAACATCGAAGAGATAAGGTAATACCGTGTATACATATAACATGTGATTATAAGCTTAATATTATTGTACATGAGGTAATAGGTATTGTACCTCTTAATTTTCAAGAAACAGACAATATGTT